ATGTACTTAACTAGAGTTCGTGACTCTATATTACCAGTCTTGGGAGGTTGTTATGATTATTGCCACGTAGGCTTATTCTGCTTTTGTTTCGGCATTTATATTAAATTATGGTTCAAATTATGATTGTTAAAACTAGCTTAATCATTGTTAGTAATCGGCTTACCTAGTCTTAGAGACTAGGTGCCATCACGACGTCTGCGGTGGGTTTTTGGGTCGTGACAAGTTGGTATCAGAGCTATAGGTTCATAGATTTTACGAGTCACGAGCAAGTTTAGTAGAGTCTTGCAGATCGGTACAGAGACGTCTGTACTTATCTTTGAGAGGCTACAAAACTATTAGGAAAACGTCCATTTCTTTCATTTTGTCGTGCAGGTTTGTTGATTTCGAAGTTTGAGCCTTTGTATCCCTATTCTCTCACATATGGTGAGGACACGTACTATCGGATCAGCTGAGCAGACACTCGCGCCCCCTGCTAGAGCCGCAAGAGGTGGAGGCCGAGGTAGAGAACGATGAGAGGCACGTGCCACAGCTAGAGCACTTGCCACATCAGCAGTTGAGAAGCCGCCAGTAGCTCCGGTTGGGGGACAGGCACCGGAGGCACCTGTTGTTACCCCCGGATTTCAGGGACTTTAGCGCAGTTCCTGAGCATATTTGGTACATTGGCTCAGGCTGGATTGATTTTTGTTATAACAGCTACTTCGCAGATTGGGGGAGAAGCTCAGACTCCCACCGCTTGCACTCTAGAGCAGCTGGCTCACATTGGTCAGGTTCCAGGTGTGGTTCCGGTACAACCTGTTATTTCGGTTCAGCCTGAGGTCAGGCCAGGGGCATTATAAGAGGAGTATAAGAGGCTTGTTATTTCACCGTTGTTGTTATGCAGGGCATAAGGGTGACATCTCACTGTTGTTGAATGTACGAAGTAATACGAGTGGCTATTGTGTTATTATCCGGGAGGAGCGATAAGGGTGGCTATTATACAGAGTGATACGGGTGGCTATTGGAGTGATACATGTGACTAATGATATTGTCAGGACGGAGTGATATGGGTGGCTATCGAAGAGATAAGAGTGGCAATGTCAGGGATGATATGTGATGGTTTGGGGACATTGTGTTGGTGATTTTTATGTGATGGTGTGCTTTTCCTTGTGTATGTCATACACCTTGCGCGTGACTTGTTTTGTTACTTCGATGAGCTACTTGATGTCTTTGATATTACTCGTTAACTTGGGTTACAGTTGTACACTCGTACAAGCATACACCGTGGCATGCCACTTATACTAGTTATAGAGTATGAAACTTGACCTTTATTGATCATGCCCATGTGTTATTGTATTATCCGTTTTCATATTGCTATTGAGCCTGTGACCATGTCGGACGGATTGTGATTGTGAGCCCGTGATAATGCGGGGCAGATTGTGATTGTGAGCTTGTGACCATGCCAAGCGGATTGTAATTGTGAGCTCGTGATCACGCCGGGCGGATTGTGAGTATGAGCCTGTGATCATGCCAGGCAAATTAAGATATTGGCACGTGATTTGTCCATGTGGTTGTGATTCGGGACGTGGGCACGAGGTGCCGTGAGTATATGATGGTGGGTTGAGCCCCGTGACTTGTGACTAAGAGATGAAGTATTACGAGGTGATTTCGTTGTGAAACTTGTGTTAGAACAACTTGATTTATTGATTGTCATTGTGTTCCTTATTTGGTTTCAACGGCACTTTCATGGTGTTCCGATTGCTTACTGTTTATATCACATGTTGATTCTTTATTGCAATTTACTGATTTTTGCTTTTCATTATTAGGTTTGTACTTCTATACTACACATATTATTTTGTCTAGTGAGTGTCTTGACTTGTACCTCATCACTACTCCACCGAGGTTAGTCTTGATACTTACTAGGTACCGACTGTGATGTACTCATACTATACTTCTGCATATTTTTGTGCAGATCTAGGTATTGGAGATATCGGACTTGGGCAGAGTTAGCTTGTTGATTGCGAGGATTCAAGGTAGAGTTGCTTGGTCATCGAGTCCCTTGGAGTCCTTTTCTTATATTGTATTGTCGGTTGTCATTTGAACAGTATTGTATTTCGATCTTTGAGATCTTTCCATGTACTTAGCTAGAGTTCGTGACTCTGTATTACCAGTCTTGAGAGGTTGTTATGATTATTGCCGCGCAGGCTTATTCTGCTTTTTTTTTCGGCATTTATATTAAATTATGTTTCAAATTTTTATTGTTAAAACTGCTTAATCGTTGTTAGTAATCGGCTTACCTAGTCTTAGAGACTAGGTACCATCATGACGCATGCAGTGGATTTTTGGCTCGTGATAATAACAAAAGAAAAAAAAGTCTTATTTGATAATTAAACAATTCATAAGAAAATAATACACATTAATTAAAGTTTGGTAAGAGTTTGGCGGGTTGGGATATGACCCAAATTTTAGCCCAAATTAACCCAACCCATCCCAGCCCAAGTTACTTTTGGACGGGTCAAATGATCCGCTCATTTATTGACTCAACCCATTTTGACCCGCCCAAAATCAGCCCAATCTCCCATTTGATACCCCTAGCCATGCTATTACTTTTCTTTATGCGTGTATAATAATTAAAAAAAAAAAAGTTGCACACGCTCAAGGTATACAACAAATAAATAATTACTCATACATGCTATTGTTTTTGTTTATTTTTTATACTTTTGACTATGATTATAAATCATATGGTGTGGAGGTCGAAAATTATGTTAGAAGGATAGTAGGTAGTCTAACATATTTTCGTTTCGTATCGTTGGTTTTATGGTTAGTCTAGTAGTTTTTTTGTCTTAGATTGATAGTAGTTCATGTTATTTTCCTATTATCTTTTGTCTCGATTTCTTAGTATTCTGTTGTTGTTACAGCTTGTTGCTACTGTTTTCTTTTGTTGTTATTATCTTTCTAGCTCTCTTTGATATTGCTTATTTTTACTTTTTTTTGTTTTATTTTTTTTGCCGAGAATCTATCAGAAATAACTTTTATACCTTCCTAAAAATCTTTAAATGGTTATTTCTTAGTTATATACTTAGTGCAAATACGATAACATCATAATATAGTTCCTAAGCATAAAAAAACATTTTTTGTGAGAATAAACATTTTAAAATTGTCTTTCAATTTACTACCCTTTTGACCACTCTTTTTACACAAAATAACTTTTTCTCATGAATATCTAATGAATTAATAAGGAAAGATTCACAAGTTAAAGGGTCTTTCATTATCTTTTCAAAACGAAAAGGTCATAGCGCACATTCTCCATACTTTCTTCTTCTTTGCCTTCATATCTAAGCCGCGACTTTGAGAGGGTTTAAGCAGTTGTAAAACACCATTGTTCTGCCGCATCGCCTCCTCAGCTCGGCAAATTATCGCCACGTGGACAAAAAATGTATAGAAGCAGAGCCGCCACACTCACATCCAAATCTCTGAGAACTCTAACAAAGGTATGCAGACAAAATCACCATTTAGAATCAATAAAGTTCGTTAATTTTTCAAGAAATCTCAGCACTGCTACTCAAATATCTGAGTTTGATAACTATAGAGAGCAAAACCCAGATGGGGTTTTCAATTATAACCCAAATAATACAAATTCTTTGAACCCTAGGCAAAACCCTAGAGCGGAATTTCAAGAATCAGCTAATGGTGCTAGAGGTTATTTTTCTAAGGATACCATTGGGTTTCAGCGGGACCCACATGGTCAAAATGAGAACTTTTCATTAAGAAATGATTTTCAGCAAACTGTTCGGGCAAATGGGAGTTTATCGTCAAGCAGTAATGATTTCGGGTCACGAAAGGAATATCAAAGTAATAATTTAGTCCAGCATAATAGAAATGATGCTGGTTACAAAGGTGAAAATTCGTCGAATATGATGCATAGTTCCAGGTTTGAGGGACGTGTAGAAGCTCAGCCGAGTCAAAATGGAGTTTATGGACACTATCAACAGATTTTAAATGGTTATTATGGTGGGAACAGTGAAACGTCACAGCGGAATGTCAGTGCCAATTACACGAGAAACATAGGAGTGCCTCAGCCCAGTTATAACCCTGGAAATGTAAGGAATGTTCAAGCAGGAAATTCTGAATCGTATCCACAAAGTGCAAGTGCGTATGATATGGAAAGGCATACGAATTCGAGTGGTTACTCAAGGGAGATGATGGGGCAATATCAGCAGAATGTAAGCGGCTTTAACCCTTCTAGTACTGGACATCAAGCTTCTTATCAATCACAGAATGGAATAGTAGGCAATCAAGAAATGAGAAGTTCAACACCTGCTGAACAGTCAATCGATTCTGCTGATAGCATCATTAAAAAAGGCTCAATTGACGAGCTCGATAACTCTTGTAAAGAAGGCAAAGTGAAGGAGGCAGTTGAAGTTTTGCATTTGTTGGAGCAGCAACATGTCACAGTCGATTTGTCTCAATATATAACATTAATGGATCTCTGTGGTGAGGATAAATCCCTTGAGGAGGCTAAATCAGTTCATGAGCACCTTGTGAGATCTCATCCCCATCTTGACGTCAAAACGTACAATAAGATTCTTGAAATGTATGGCAAATGTGGCTCCATGAATGATGCCTTTTCGGTGTTTCAAAAAATGCCTCAGCGTAATCTGACTTCTTGGGACACGATGATTACTTGGCTTGCTAAGAATGGTCTTGGAGAAGACGCAATAGAATTGTTTGCAGAATTCAAGAAAACTGGGATGAAACCTGATGGCCAAATGTATCTGGGTGTCTTTCATGCTTGTAGTGTTGTAGGTGATATAGTTGAAGGAATGTTACACTTTGAATCAATGAGTAAAGATTATGGTATTGTTCACTCCATGGAGCATTATGTGGGAGTGGTAGATATGTTGGGAAGTACAGGATACCTTAATGAAGCGATAGAGTTCATTGAAAACATGTCTATAGAGCCAAGTATTGAAGTATGGGAAACCATGATGAATCTCTGTAGAATTCATGGGAACTTGGAGCTTGGGGATCGTTGTGCTGAGATTGTTGAACTCCTAGATCCATCTCGTTTGGATGAACAGTCAAAGGCAGGTTTTTTAGCTGTAAAAGCATCAGATATTGCTAAGGACAAAGAAAAGAAAAAATCTGCTCAAAGTCTTCTCGAGGCTAGAAGCAGAGTCCATGAATATCGAGCAGGAGATAGATCACATCCCGACCATGAGAAGATATATGAATTGCTTAGGGGTTTAAAGCAGCTAATGAAGGAGGACGGTTATATACCAGAAATTAAGTTTGTGTTACATGACGTAGACCAAGAAACTAAAGAGGACGCTTTAATGGCTCACAGCGAGAGACTTGCTTTTGCTCAAGGTCTTATGAGTAGCTCTGCACGATCACCAATCCGAATAATAAAGAATCTGCGTGTCTGTGGTGATTGCCATAATGCATTGAAGATTGCTTCGAGGCTTGTTGGTCGGGAAATTATTATGCGAGATGCTAAGAGGTTTCATCATTTAAAAGACGGATTGTGCTCGTGTCGGGATTACTGGTGAAGATACCAACCATCAGGTAACACTTATATATCTCTTTATTTTCATCCAAAAGATCTTCTTTTTTTCCTTTTCCTCTTTTTTTCTTTTTCGTGGCAAACAAAGGACTGAAGTATGAAATTATCAAACTTTATAACCAGATACCCAAGATGTAGTTTCAGACCCAGAGAATGCTCTAAGGACATGACACCTATCATTTGTTGAATTCCTTCAGAACATGTTCAGTTTCCCGCTCATTATTATGAAGACGATCCACCGATGAACTCCTTCCTATCCTGGAGAAGCTACGGGTTTCTTACTTTCTTTAGAGATGTAAAAAGTTGGTATACTGCAAGAAAGTTGACCTTTCAACTAAGAAAGTTTTGCCCAGTATTAAACCCATACTATATATTAGTTCTCCCTGTCGAACTCATGCAGTAGTTAATAATATTAAAACATGATGTTATTTGTTTCAACCTGTTAGGTTTTTAGGCCATAGACTTCATGGATAATACCAAATCTGCTATGGTGTTTCAAGCATGTTCTGCAGATTTCTTGTTTTTAGATTGTCTACTTCATAGATAATAATATAATATGAAGTGTGAGTATTTCAGTGACCACCCTGTAGTTCTATTGTGATTGAGAACGTGATGGCACTTCAAATCGCCTATGTGCTAAGGCTGCTTACTATATCTTCTCTCTGTTCTCTCTGTGTCTACAGAAGATGAGTTTCTGCGGTTCCTTTTCTTAAAATGATATGTTTGGTGGTGCTAGCAGTTTTATCTTCAACTTTGGTTTATCTCATTTTTTTTCTTTGTTGTTACATGTGAATTCCGGCATTGTACTGCACAAATGGGACAAGTACTTCCCCCCCCCCCCCCACCAACAACTTTAAACAAAGTCAAAATGTATCTGAATATCCTATAGGCTATAGATGTAATTATGAGAAGCACAATGAATTTTTGATAGTTGCTTAGATATCCCACATATGCAAACAAGTCCAATGGATCAAGTAATATTTATGAGTACTGACTCTTACGTGCCAAGTTTGCCAACAGACCATATTTTTGTCGCCATCCTAATTGTCTAAAGATGTACTGAGACAAACATGGTGTGTTGGAAGGCTAATTTTGCAGGATTTGAAACTATATAGTTGAACTAAGTGGTAAGAACTTTTAGAATGAAAAACACACTAACATTTCTTATGCTCTTTTTTATTTGGGGTGACGGAGAAATCCCCGCGAGTTAGGTGGCCTAACCCCAGTTGGCTAACAAATTGGAGACTTGGTTTGCTTATTTTGGCTTAAGAATGTATTAGGCCTTACCTGTTATAGTTTATTTGTGAATACACTGGCTTTGTTGATGAGCTGATAAAAGATAAAATAGAGGCTCAAAATGAAGCAAAAGCCAAGAAGAATGAAGAGAAGGACGTTATTAAGCAGCAGAATACGTATGCACAGCGGCTAGATAAATTAACCATTCTGTTCTGTGTCATAGGGTGATCATATCTGTGTAAATATTTTCTAGACGAGGCATCTTTTTGAGGTTGGGCAGCAAATTCAGGGTACTTCATATTAATCAGAACCAAGTAGATATGCATCATATTGTTTTTTGTACTATTCTCTGAGATCGTCGAGGATATTCGTTTCCAAAGTGTTATAAGTTTTTCCAGGTTCATCATCTTGTGGATAAAATCGTTTTGAATGCTTTAGGGGGTCGACCGTTTTGTATAGACTACTACATGGTAAAAAAGGGTAGCTTCTTCTGTCCATGTATCTGTAAAGCAGCCTTTTGTTGTAAGAAAATGATTACTTTAGTTCTGACCAACTCTTTTGTTGCAGCTTTCGCACAGCCCATGTCTGGAAAAGCTATCATTCTTAGCCGATGGAATAGTTTTACTGTTCTATTAGCAGAGATTGAAACCATGTTCAAAGATCGGCAAGTACCATACTTAATGCCAGGTAGTCCCTTGATTTGGTTAGTGCTGCTAAAGTGTCAATGTGCATAAGGATACGAAGGTGAGTTAGTTGCAGATACTGTAAATCATTATTCCAAAACTTGTAGAGGACGAGCCGCCAAGCATTTTCGGTCATTGAGTATGGGTCATCGAGTAACATAAATTACTTCTCTACCCTGTTCACCTGGAACACGACCAAATAAAGATCGGCCATCTTCTCAAAGTGGATAAGCGAACTAGCGAAGACAGTAGGAGATGAAGTGGAATTATTTTCCAGGTCTCAATCTAATTGTCTCACATTTATAGGATAAGATCCTAAGTTTTCAAGATTATTTTCATTTGAGTGCTTTCATTCTTTTCTAAAGCAGTACTCCGATATTTATATTTTTTGAGTAACATAGGCTGTTGTATCCTTGTACTTTTGGTGGAAACCCCTTTAACTGAGATGGTGGCATTTTCTTTTATTCATGCTTGAACACAGTTGGAGTTGGCTAAATTATCCAATTTCAACAGTTGGAAATCAAAAGTCAAAACCTGCTCATTGTATTAATTGGGGTCAAGCTCATAAAAAGAATCAAAACTCTATCCTTGAATTGTTATTATGCTGCTGTTTATACCATGTATTTTAGAAATTAGAATTTTTTTCACCAAAATCCTTTCTTGGAATGTTATACTTTGAAACAGAAGAAAGAGATTATTAGATAAGTATGTTATATCGTATGCAATGTGATTATTGTATAAATTGATATTTTTGAATAAAAAGTATATGTACTTTATTTAGTATTTAATAAAGAGGTTTCTCTTTTTCTCAGCGGAAAAGGATATCCATTTGCCATTTTCTTGTGTTAGCTGCCACTCGTCTTTTCACTTTTTATAATCATTTTAATTTTTTTTGTTCTAATTCAAATTCCAGCTTTAGAATCTCTCTTCCTACATATCGTAATATTTGTTTTCTTCGAATCTTATTTGGTTATTGCAAATAATACCAGTATTAAATTCTGCTTATTCAATTTGAGTCCGCGTAGTGTTCATCCAGCATTAATTATGTTGCAATTAGTATATTATTCTAGTTGAAAATTTAAGATGTAACAAAAAAAATACACGTAGTGGTAAAAAATTGACAAAAATGTCTATGCACTTCCGCTCTTTAGTTAACCACTCGTGTTATTGTTCTTGTTTGTTTTTCGTAATGTCCGCGGTATTAATTTCGAAATTAAAATATTGTGTTTTAGAATTTAACTTTTTATGTTTAAAAGAGAAATCATACAACTTATTTGTTCCATATACACCATTTCATGTTCCTCTTAAAGTAACGTTATTTGATCCAATGAATTGATAACAACTATATATGTTATATAAAATTTTAATTACGATATGCTTATTGTAATCCAATATGACAACAAAGGAGGCCATTATTAGGTTAAAATAGCACGGGCTAGCCAGTTTTCGGACTGGTCATTCAAAAATAGCCGGCGTTTGCCAAGTCATTGAAAAATAGCCACTATTTTGCTGCAACAGAGACCGGTCCAACATAATATACCGGAGTTCGGTGCACCTGTGTATGAACTTCCAATATATTATGTTGGACCGGTATACTTTGCTGGCTCCAGTATAATATACTGGAGTTCTAGTATATTATGCTGGAGTATTTTCCGGATTTCGAATAGTGTTTTCGTTCAGATTTACCTTTACATGAAAAGTGGCTAAATTTAGTTGACTTTTGAAAGTGTGACTATTTTTGAATGACCACTTGTAAATCTGACTATTTTTGAATTTCTCCCTAATATGTGAATTTTTCTAATTTACATAAATTTCAACTATTAGAATTATTCGATACCAATACTTAAAGAGGGTTAGAATTTGATTGATCGGTATTATCAAAAATAAAAAAGTATGGTCATAGTTTAAACTGGCGCATCAATATTTTTAGGATCAATAAGTTCTGTGACTCTTTACAAACTTGTTTTTAGTTTTATTACTCCACCGATTATTTTACACATTAGATCTGTTTTATACGTAACAGATCTAAAATTACACAAGGTCATTTTTTTAAATTATAAATTATGAAGGAGCATAATATTAATTAATTATACACATTATTTAAGGAAGTTTTGTGGTTTAATCCATTCGGGTCGGGTATGAACATGTGCTGCTCAGTCAACAGGTACTCAAAACAGGAAAATGGCGGCAAATGCAGTAGCTCGATTCTCCTCTTCTTCACACCATTGAAGCGAGCAGCAGATCACCATCTCTTCCCAAAGCCCCACTCTTTATCTCTCCAAGTCTCCCTTTCCCACCTTTTAGCTCAATTACAAATCTAATGCGCATGATTTTATTCTTACTTAGTCAATTAGGGTTTTGTCCGCCGGAAAATTAAATTTCTAAATCATCAGTGACGGCCAAAGAGATAAACTTTGTAAGAGCTGTACAATGACGTGCAATTTGGGGATATTGGAGTCACTGAGTGTCGATTCCATAGCAAAAATATCAGAAAACTGGAACGGCTTTTGCTCCACTTCAGAAGCTCTTCTTAAAGGCAGCGGTGATTTGTCATTCAGTGCCGAGTTCATGACGCAAGTTAAGAATCTCTGCGAACACGGCCTGGCGTCTCTAGTTGAACAACACTTCCTTTGCTGCGTTCAGGTCTGCTCAAATTTGATGTGTTTTTAAAAAAAAATAAAATTTACATATTTGGAGTCGGCTACTGACCATGTTACTCCATTTAAACGCATCTCTTAATATAAAAGAAGTATTATATTACTAACTCCCAGAAAAGCATAGGACGTAAAGTAATTTGAAAGTAGATTAAAATGCTGAAAAAACATCACTACTCAATTTCATTACGTACAAGTAAAGTCTAGTGTGAATTCACATCTATCGAAGCGATATTTGAATAAAGTTTACATATTTCTAAAGTTTTACTTATCTGATCTTTTTTTTCTTCTTCATATTTCAATAGTAGACCTTAGTCCCAAACAAGTTAGAGCTGGTTGTATGACTCCTCACTGACCACGTTACTCCATTTAAACTCAACTCAGGCTAATATTATAAGTAATAAAAAGTAGTAGAAGCTCTTTTTTTTTTTAGATACATGTGTAAATCGCTGAAAGGCAAAACAACTCCCAGAAAGCATAGGACTTTGAGTAATTCGATAGTAGATTAAAATACTCAAAAAAACATGGCTACTCAATTTTATTACCTACAAGTAAAGGTTTTTCCATTGGAGTGGTTTGATTTGGAGGAGAATGTTTTACATTGGAAAATTGTAACCTGGATCGTTGTCTCCTGTGTTTGATTGGGTATAATAGTAGGTGATATCTTGATAAAAAAATAACAGTAGGTTATATATGGTAATTATACAAGGTATAGTATATTGGGCATAAGGAGAACAATCGTAAACAAATTCCGCACTAAAGTGACTGAAGTGATTTTCTTCTCTTTCTCGGATATCGCCCTTGGAGAAAACATTTTCCACAATTCGAGGGATTCAAGTATTGGAATGTTTTCACAGACAATATCTTGGTTAATGAAATCATTTTTCTACTATTTGAATACCCTGAATTTGAAATGTTTTCTACAAGGAAAATATTCAAATATTTTGAAATGATTTTATTTTCGCAGTTTTCAGCCACACCATGTACATTATAATTTGTAACTTAGTTATTGCATTTTAAAGCCAGTGTGGCTGTGACTCTAATAGGTATATTTATTGAACTCATAGTGACAATGTCGTGTTGGAACAGGAAACATTCGAGAGAAATGGAGCAAGAAGGTTCTGGAGTTATTTTGAACCTTACAGCAATGTTGCTCCACTTGAAACTAATAAGGATCCAGTATGTGTATACGGTCCCTTTGACATGTGATATACTGTTCTATATTAAGGATAAGGCAATACTATGGAACTACAAGAATGGATCACTACTTTGATTTTCACCGTGAACTTGTCTGTGTGAGCAAATGCAGGATTACTGTTAATGAGGATTCTCTATGCTTGTCGTAATTTTTGGATTTTTGTTGCTTAGTGTAAAGTTTTCTATTTTGTTCCTAATCCTGTCTTACTTTGACGGAGAAAATGTGTATGTTACACGACCTAACAACCCCATTTACACACACCTTTTTTGAGTAGTAGTGTAAACTCTTCTTTTTGGTTTTAGTTATGATATTTTATACCATAGTTTTCTTGGTCTTCAATTCTTGCTTCCGTTGCTACAAGTTTGTTAAACATTGTCTGTGGTAGAGGCTTATAATTATGAATCTTAGCTTCCTTATGGTTAACTGCATTTCTTATTCGGGGAAGTAATTTACATGGAAAACGCATTTTGTTTGTCAATAATATCTTGTCTAGCTAGCGGATGTGCATGGTTATATTCTCACTTTTGCTGCTGATTCGATTTGCCATCTTAGCAATTTTAATCTTGCTCAGGCTATGACTTGGTTTTAGGGCTTAGCAACTTTATATGGACGTACTTGATTGTTATTGATACAGATTCTAGAAGAAGAGATTCAGCAAGTAATATGTAAAGCTTTGGAAGAGATATCATCTGAAAAGCAGTATCAGGAGAAGTGCCTATTATTGTTGGCTCATGCTTTACAGTCGTACGAAGAAAACAAGTCACAAGGACAAGTGAACCCAGATTCTACTCGAGTTTATCTGTTCTCAAAATATCAACTAATTGTGTCTTCAGTTCTTTTGGCTAGTCTTCCTCGCCATTTTCCTGGTATGTGGATTACTTCATAGAATCATAGTACATGCTGAGTTTTGCTTAGTTGTGCTTTTTAAATGTTTCCCCACTTCCAATCTCTTTCTCCTTTTCCCTTTATGCAATGCCGATAAAGGTAGTTACTTTCTTGATAGTAGAATTCTGATCATTTGACTGCTTTCTCAAATGGCTAATTGGCGGTATTACTTGAGCTGAAGGCTATAAAGTGTGCTACTGACCACCTTTATAGAACATTTTATTTTTTATGATCTTCAAGGCATGGTTAAACTGAGATTATAAGAGTGAAAAAGGGGAGTTAATTTTTTTTTTTTGATGAACATAATATAGTTCCTATACTTTATTGTTCATTGTCTTTTGTAGTTTATTACAAATTGATAATTTATGTGAAAAGTCTTGACCAGCTTATTATACACAAGCGTGTCTCTTGGGAATAAAAGGGTGGCAGCAACCTCAGTGTATTCAAGCTCAAATGGTGTTGTATTAATTTGTACTCATTGATGGAAAGACACCCATTTGGGACTCTCTTTTGTTATTGACCTGTTTGCTTTGTATCAAAACCAGTTAAAATTACCTCTTGAACAGTCCAAATAAAAGAAGGTAAACTACAGTCTCGTCATGGATATGGTAGCTTTCTGAGGTCTTGAGATTGTTTGTTTTGTCCTATTTGAAGTTAAACCATTCTCTTTTCTCTGTGTTTCGTTCAAATCAGTTCTGTTCTTGGACCAATCATGCAGCAAAGTACCAAATGTTTGATACTATTGCCCAGGGTTGCCAGCTGCAACACAAGAATTATACTTCTTTAGTCACTAATCTTACTGCTTTGGTTTCTGAATCTACAAGTTAGAAGATGTCTTTACAATAAACACACACACATACAC